CTTATTGGAGTTGGACGAATTAAAGTTGGACGTCCTAGATAGATTGCAAGTTCAAAAACGAAGAATGGCTAAATTTTATAATAAAAAAGTTATAGCGAAGTCGTTAATGGAAAATATTTAAAAAAAAGTTAAAAAGCCTGGGCAAATTGGTTTGGAAAACAATACTCTCTTTGGATAGTAAAGATCCAAAGTATGGCAAGTGGTCGCCCAATTGGGAAGGACCATATAAAGCAAATAATGTGTTGCCTAATGGAGCCTATAATTTGGAAGATTTAGACGGCATCAAGCACATGAGGTTCATTAATGGCAAATATTTAAAAAAATATATTCCTTCCTTATGGAAAAGTGAACAAATAAAAGCGTAATCAAATCGCGTTGAACAATCGTAGATTAAAAAGGGTCAGAACGAAATACGTTCAAATTAATTCCTTTATTATCAAACGTTCATTACAAAGTTGTAAAATACAAAATAATAAATGCTCTACAAGCTACAATTAAGAGCAAACTAATCTCCCGGTCGATCGCCGAGTAAGAGGGTGAACTAGCCTTAATTGCCATCCTGATCACACTACTGCAAAGGCAAGCAGAGAGGCCGAGAAGCACTCTCAGCAAGCTTATAGGAAGAAGAAGCACCCTCGCATCGCCTTCCTAAATGCATCGCTCCAATAACGAGCAAGGTGGCTTGCAGGCGTCCTCAAAAATTGTCTTTCATTATCGAACTCCTTGTAAGGAACATGGAGACGATGGGAAAAACTTTGCTGCTGGCCAAAGAATATTTCCTATATCTCTCATACCAAAAGTGACATCAAGAAGGATGGCAAAATGGGCGGATCAAATGATCCATTTTCATGGAAGACGAAAGTTTTGGATCGATTATCAAAATGCCAAACAATGGCAGTAAATTGGTTTTGAAGAAAAGAATGGAAATGAAAATGGCAAGTGTGGAATATAAGTGCATTTATAGAGGCGTGGAGGTGAAGAGACATAATATGAACAGCCACATTCGTGCCTAGTAACTAGAATATGGCCCGAAGTCTTGGGAAAAGAGACAGAAACACCAAGAGAAAATGTACGTGAATCTTAGCATAAAGCAATTAAAAGAAAAGTTAAGGCATTAAATGTCTTAATTGCAATTTGTCCCAGACTGAACAAATTATTTTCCTAAGTCTCCCCCAATCCTCGCTCTGCTGAGAAGTAGTGACATTCAATTCAGCCACAAAATCATCATCAACCTCCAGCTTCTTGTACTGCTCGACCAAAGACTTGGTTCGCTCAATTCCTTGGGAGGCATTGCGTTTTTAGCAGCCGTTCTCGCCTTGCAGTCGTCCATCCTTGCTTGAAGCTCCTTCATCTGTGCAGCCAAACTGGTCATCAAAGAGTTTTCAATCATGACTTCAGAAGAGATTTCTTTCAGTTCGTCCTCAACTTTGTTGATCTCCAGAAGTAAAGACTTTCTTTCGGATATAGCGCGAAGATATTGAGTACTTTTGACCTTCAGTTCAACATTTTTGGCCAGCAAGGAGAGAATCTCGGAATGGACAACTTTCAACATCGCTTTAAAATCAACAGAAAGATTGAGCGACGGAAGTGTCAGTGCTTGCGCCAACTTAGCACTCAAATGTTCAAGCTTGTCCTTATGTTTGGCAGCACTAGCTTGACCGATGTCTATATCCATAAAGGACACATACTCAAATATCGACTACTTGAGGAATTTCATATCTTCCTCTGAAGAAGCAGAAGGACGACTGGTTGAAGTAGGGCGAGACGTATTAACTTGCTCCCAGGAAGTGAACAAGTCCTGGATGGAATGCACAATCCTATCAGCATCCTGCAAAGAAAGTTACCAACATTGAAAGTTTTCACTACAATAAACAAAGTGGAAGTAAAAGTGAAGCAAAGATTACCTCATCAGCAATCTTGGGAGGTGGCATATCCCTAGCCAAATCTACCACCTGTGACTCCACCACTTGTGAGGACTTCCCCTTGTCTGAGCGAGAAGAATTTGCCACAATGGGCAAACCCATGGGAGCATCTGCAGAACTCAAAAAGCAGCAAATCAAAAACCAATAGCACAAATAAAGGTAAAACATCAAAAAATGTATTACCTTCTTGTTCGACGTTTGGGGGGTTGACACTCTGGGAAGAAGGTGGCTCATCCATTAGTTGTGATGAGGATTCCGGGACTGAAGGTTTTTCTTTAAGCGCAGTCCCTTCATCAGTTGGTTTGGATGAAGCAGCCTCAGCAGAGGGTGATGGAGCAGGACCTGCCAACACCAAAGCCTTCAAAGGAGATGCTGAGCTTTTCTGAGAAATCCAAATAAACCATCAGCACAAAGAAAAGTTTCAAGTATAGAAAGGTATACTTGTGAGTAAACTAATTTAATTACCTTTCTCCTGACAATGAGAGGAGTGTCATCATCATCATCCTCAAAAATGGGAGATGTTGAGGTTGGCCGTTTGCGGCTTAGGGCGCTTTTAGATGCAGTAGGCTTGGCAGGAAGAGAAGTAGATGGATGAACAGACTGTTTAGTACGAGCAGAAGAGGAAGGACTCCTAATGGACACAGGGGTAACCAAAACAGGGGAAATGGAAAAAATGTCCGTCTGATCCAGTGAATGGAAAGCGCGATTGGCATCAGTTGCAAACAATCTGCGCTGTACTGATGGCCAGAATTGTTCAAAAAGGGGATGGATGACATGGCTAGGATTAAAAGGGGCTAATGAAAAGTTACTCGTCAAAAGAATATTGCGAGCATCTATAGCTTCTGCCTCTACCTTATTAATGGTGTAGAAGCGATCTATCAAATTTCTTGAATAACAAGGGGGAACAGGCCAAGTTTGACCAAAATCAAGTTGACGAGCAAAAAATTGGGGAGCATATATTTCAACGCCAGCTTTGACATTGGTTTCAGTCAAAATATCACGGAACAACTCCCTCCCGGTCAAAAACTAAACCCAAACGAGCAGAAAGGTGCTCGCACTGTCCAGGGTGGATGGGGGTTGCGCATAATCTGGAGTTAAAAAGGGAGGAAAATGAAAGAAAGAAGGAAGAAATTGAATTCAAAGTATAAAAGAATGAAAAGATGTCCCTTCTGGACATATTTACAGGGCTCAGTGGGTCAATAGCTAGCCCATAGCAGCTAGCAGAATGACGGGAAAATGATAGAGCACCAAGTGATGGAAAATAGGCTCTCAACCACATTTGAGTGAACCAAAGAGGCCCACTGTCAGTGGGAGATGCACTATTCTTCAATTGGAATTGGAGAGAAGCCATGCCTCTATAGAGGGCGGCAAAAAAAAGAGCACAAATTTAGAGGCCTACCACGCGCCAATTGGTGCGCTATGGGTAAATAGCTCATAGAAGGCTTCATGCTTGGCACACACAGAACATATTTCATAGCCAAATCTGAAAAAAGGCCACACGCTCAGCATGGGAATGCTCAGCGCTCGAGTGATTATAGCAGCTTTGCAGGCTTGAATAGGACTTGGTGAGTTTTCTGTCAAATTTTGGGGCGACACCAGAAATAAAAATACCAGGGAAAATGGTATCGCCCAAAGGTGGTAGATTTACTAAGGCTCCAATATCCCTTAAAGTAATGGACATGGGACTAAGAGGGAAAACAAAAGTATTATACTCAGAGGACCAAAAACTTAAAGCAATAGAGAAAAGCGTTGGATCAAAAGTAGGGGGTTGAAGAGAGATTTCTAACAAATCAGAAATCCTAGCACTATCAAAAATTGCCTTGGTAGGACCATGGTCCATAAGGCGAGCATGCCATCTACGGAAAACAATATTAGATTTAGGCCAAGTGCGAATACTTCTTTCGCGAAGCGACCTCAACGGCAAAGAGGTCAGAAACGGAAGGCCTTGAGTACAAGGGAACAGCTGGCCTACCGCCACTTGTTCGACGGCCTCGGCGTTGTTATATGAAGGACCTATATAGAACTCATTGAGTTCGGCATTAGCTGGTGCAAGGAAGCTCGGAGTTATATATGGTCGAGTGAGGATTTTCTGGAAGTCTTCGAAACTGAAAAAGTCACCAGATTGGGATTGTGAAGCAGCCATTAGGAACGAAATAAAATTTTGTTGAAGTTTGCTTGAGAAACGTAGCAGAAAAGTAAGAAGATGAACAGTAATATTGTGAGAGAGAAGCGCAGAACAATGAGGCGTGATTTAGTAGTGCGATAAAATGGCGTGTATTTAGGGGTTATAAGGGTTTGCAACGTCGCACCTTTTCAGGCTATGGAAGAAAATATTGATTGAAATTCTTGAAAATTTCAAATGTTGCTGGGAAACACAAAGTGAATATGGCAAAAAATTAATAATTGGTATTAATTTTGCCATATTGGAGGGTAATTGTTGACACGCTAAAAGTGCAGTCCAATTCAAATAGCCCAAAGAATGAAGCCCAACTGGGCAATTCAAGATAAAGGCCCAAATAGGGTTATTAATGAATGCAGTGGAAGCTCACGAACGCGGTAATACCATCGCCCAAACTTGCAAGACGCCCAAAATCTGAGCGAATGAAGTGCCTTGCAGTCCCCCAGAGTTATGACCCCGTTCTCGCCCAAACCTTCGAATCGCCCAAGATCTTAGCAAACATAAGATATTATGGTTATCCAAAAGTACAGTTATTGAAGCAATTATTGGGTAATCTTATCACGTTTCACGATTCAAAGAGTTCAGTTGAAGACGATTGAACGACAAAGAGTAGTGGCAGCATTTAGAGACAGTAGTTCCACGATAAGTTGGCCACTATGAAGAAAGTGGACAGTTATAAAGCAATTAAGCAGTTTCTAAGCGGTTGATCACAAAGAGAACATCAAGGGAATATAAAAGGAAGAAAAGACATAGAGCAAAAGGACCTCGAATCAAACACTCTCAAATAGAGAATATGTAATTTCAATTCCTTAGTTTAGACTTAAAACATTTCTTTTCAGTACTCGTGTGCTTGCGCCCCTTGGAGGCATTCTGTTTAAATTCCAATTGTAAAGTCATCACCAATAAAACACTCCTTTTTGGGATTTTGTCTCAAGAGGTTTGTTCATTTTACAATCGTCTGATTCCTTTTTAATTGTTAGCGACAACCCGCGCGAAACAGAGGCATAAAGCTTCACCAGCTAATCAGAGGCTCTTTAACCAAAAGACACTCAAAATCCTTATCAAGCAAGGTGTCGATCCGAATTAGAAACAATCGTGATCGTCAAAAAGAAAAGCAATTAGCCATTTAATATTTAATAGTTAAAAAAAAAATGCACAATTATTGTAATACATAAATCATCCATGACAACTTCTATCTCTAAATTCTCTCTAAATTTGGGAGAATATTTATCGCTACCTCTCCTTCCTCTAATCGTCTTTCAATTTGGTAATTTAAGTTTTCTAATCAATTTTCAATTTTTCGCCCATATTTCAGTTTTTCCTTTTATTTTCTTGTTATTGTCGGGGTTCTAATATTTAATATATAGACATGAAGACATGCAATGCATGCATTTGTCACTTGAAGACATAATCTTGGTGTGTTATCCTTTTTTTTTTTTATGACGGGAAAATCACAGCCTCAATCATTCGGGTGCATAGCGAGTACATCCTCGGGCTGATGCAATAGACAGCAAATGGCAAGAGACAGCAAACCACGTCAACCAGTTAAACCGCACTAGGTAAGTCCTGTGCAAAAAGCTCGACCAATAAAGTGTTGGTAGGAAAAATCGAACTCGTAACCCTCCGCGATCATCTACTCCACCAACTCGGCCACCGGCCTCTTGGTGGGTTTTTGTTGGGTTGTACGTTGTCTGACAGTTCATCACTTTGATTACGGTTTCTCTCCTTTTTTGTTTATTTTTCACAGGAGTTACTAGTTATTCATTGGAATTTATTGCTGGTAATTATTAAAGACGGAAGCGTAGGAAAACCTGGAACTTTTTGATGAGAAAAAGGTGAGTTCATCTTTGTATTTCCTTTTTGTTTTTGAATTAGATGATTGTTTGGGGCTGCACAATCAGCATTGCTTCCCAATGTGAAATTATTGGGGAAAAATGATTGTTTGTTATTGGGCATGTAGGTTTGATATACTTTATATTTGATCGCTGGAAAAAAAATACTAAACTTGAGTTATAGTATTCAATTTTTCTTTTCCTTCTTGAAGAAAACTTGAAGAAATTTCTGCTCTCTGCCATGTAGATCGGTAAACAATTTTGCTGTGTGTTATTAGAAGCTGCACTTTTAACTTAATAATGTTGGAGATTCCTAAAACTTCCTAGTCTACTTGGTTTGGTTGTAGTGTTTTGGAATTAATTAAGCTGTTCTGTGTTTATGTACATTTAGGAAAGATTGAATTGGTTGAAATAAGTACAATTCCAGATTTTGGATTCATAATTATATGATTCTGTCAGCCATCAAAGTGATTATGTCAACGTTGCAAGATATATATACATTTTTTTGTTTTTTTGAAAGGCAATTTTACAAGACATTTGTTTTGATGTGTTGCTTCTAAATTCTTGGATTTTATAGATATAGATACCTATAAATGTCAATTAATAGTTCTATAGTATTCTTGTAACTTTTCTAGTGAGCGGAAGCCTGTAGACAAAAATGTAGTATTTTTATTTTTACAGTTGTCTTTCCAGCTTTGATTTCACTTAATGATTCTGTGTTTACCTATTCTATTGTATTGTTGTGTTCTGCAAGTTTTGGACACCTTAGAAAATCTGAAATTATTTTTTGTTTGTGGATCTCTAATTTCTATTCAATTCTTAAGCATATATTGCATAATTTTATAGTCTATATTCTATACTTGCACTAGTTATCTTGATAATTTTGACTTTCTTGTGTAACACACTTTGTTGAGGTCTTGAAGGTATGACCTGTGCTGTGAATAATTGTGAACTTGTATTTTTAGAGTAGGTCGGAGTCCTTTCTTTCGTTTTTATTTTTGTCGGTGGTTTTTTTCTCCAATGCAGAAATTGAATTTAATGATTTTATTTATCTCTTCATGAATAAGACGAGCATTGTTTCATATTGTGCTAATTGCATGTTGTTGTAGTAAATAACAAGTTCAAGGATACTTGATGAGTTATCTCAATGTTATTATTCTTTTAAAACTGTCGTATGACCTGTAGTTACAAGCATACTTTGATTTAATTACATCTCCACTTATCCTTTTTAACATAAAAAGAAAAAAACTTAAGCACTAAATAAGCTAGCTAATGGTCGATCTTTGGGCTTCCAAAACTTATTTTGGTATCGTGAATGAGCCAATGACATTCAAGATTGGGTCATATTATGTCAACCAAGCTTGAGTAAGTTTTTGACAGCCAAAATCTGAGTAAGCTCAAGTAGCTTGGTTGATTAATATTGTTTATGGTACAAATTAGCTTAATGGACCCATCTCCAATATTTTTATGAGCCGAAATATGTATCAAGATTGTTTTGCTTTGTCAGCAGCTAAGATTTAACATGCTCTAAACTGGTCTCAAGCTGCACATGCCTATTTTCAGCTTACATCATTTCAATTCTTGTATCGTGTTAATACATGCATATAGTAACCATGTATGTTATAATATTCTTTGGTGTCTTATGGATATTTACTTTCTTTTGATCATTTCTTAGCAAATAAAGATTCATTGCAGTATCATCAAAGGTTAGTAATTAATACAAAAATATAATATGAGCAAAACCCCCTCACCCCACCCCACCCCACCCCCTGAGAACTCATATGTCTTCCCTTTTATTTAAGCCTTCGTCATATCTGATATTTGGCTTTTAATGAGTATTGTTTGAAATCATATGACATATAAAATGATTTCCTAATCTATTTTGCTCAAATTGAACGTAAATGTCGTTCATAACCTGGTTTGGAGGACCATCTAGAGATTGAGAGTTCATCTCCTGAACGCAAGAAATCTATTTTATTATACCTCATTTTGGAGAGGCCAGGATCTAAGTGCAAGGAAGCTTAATTTGTGGCTTGTAGGTATATTGTCAAGAAAACAAATAAATTCCAACAAGTTGATTGTAATGAACTGCCCTGCTCTTTTAGATGTTATAATTCCAATCATGTTTTGTGAGTTTGCAAGTAATTCATGTGCTAAGAAATGCAAGTATTTGCTAGTGATATCTTCGGAGGATGAGGCTTTTGCTAATGGTTTGTGGCAGGAAATCTAAGGATCCCTTAAATCTTTAGCTCTTTTGCCAAATGTTGCGTCATTGAATGTGTTTGTTCTTTCTGCAATGGCATTATTATTGCCATTCTGTTACTCAATGTCTTTCAGTTGATGATTTTTCTACATTTTCCCTATTTGGTTAAGTTGGACTTCTTCTTTGTTGTAACTTGTAAAAGACAAACACCTGACTCTACAAGGCTGATTCTTGCAACATTTTCTCGGAAATTAAGTGAGATAGTTACTTAGTTTTTCTTTGGTGAATAATATTATTACAAGCGAACACTTATCAGATTATGAGCTCATCGAGTTCTCCTGAAATGAAGGACTCATCTCATGGTTTCAGTTTGCTTTATTGTATACCATGATTCTTTTTATTTCCGTGATTATTCAGAATCACTTAACCTCTACGCTGTCTCATAATGAGCTGAAATAAGATTATGTTTTAATTTTGTTGGAGGCCTCCGTGTTGATAAATTCTTTTATGAGCTGATTCACCGACTTTTCCCAGCCATGTTCAGTGAGTTCAGTTGAAAATTTATCTTTTGTTCTTTGAATGGTTCAGTTTTTAATTACATATATTTTCAATTTGTTACAGGCATCCTGTACAACATGCATCCGAACACTCAATTCAGAGGTCATGTGATTTATTTGGAAACAAAACAGTAAGGTCCCATTCATTTACATCCTGAACCTTTGTCTTTTATGGGACTGCATCAAACTTTTCTCAGTCTAATATCCATTCCATAGTTACTGCTCCAGGGAACTCTTGTAATTTTAATTATCAACATATATCAGAACATCGAAATTGTGCTTTATTGTACGGGATGACACAGTGCAATGCTGTCCAGCATCAGCCTCTGGCCTCGAATCTTAATTTAGCTGTTGCCGCACCATCCAGTCATTATAACCCATATGTGGCAGCCCCATGTGGTATTAGGGATTTTCCTGCTCCAGTAAATTATGGGTGCATGATCTGTTGTCACTTTCAAGCACTCACAGAATTGTTGGTGTTCCTTCAGAGAACTACAGAAGAATCATTCCTTATGCGAATGGAGTTGGAGGATCATTTAAGAGAAAAAATACTGAAGGTGTTACTGGAAATTACTATTATCATAATGCTTTAGCATGGCCTAGTTCTTTTCTTTCCCTCGTGAAGTCAAGGCTGTCTGAATCCAATGCTGCTTCTTTTCTGCCACCTGAGGATGCAGGTAATGACCCTACATAAATGGTCGAAAGTGGATCTCATAGACGTACAAGTAATAAACCTGGTATAATTGGACCTGAATCTGTCCTGGTACATAACCCTAATCATTTTCAAGGAAACCATGTCGCTCAACCTGCGCAGTTTCCTGGCTATCATTGGTTGAGCATGCATTTTAACAGTGGTGATAACTGCACTTGTTGGAACCAGGCTCTTAATTCACCCTATGTACACGGTGCATTATTTATTTTATAAACTATTTCGAAGCTTTCAATGCCATCATGTGTTTTTGAATTTCTGGTTTTTGTTCTTGTGATTTTCTCTATATGACTTGCCACCCCCTTCTCTAATTCTTGGCATCTCAGCAAATATGAATGGACATTATGTTGAAGCTGGGAATATTGGCGTACAAGGTTATCAAATGACAACCACTAACATAGGTTCCAGTGGTTTTCTTCATTCTTCCATGGCTCAGGGTGCCACCCCCATCTTCATCATCCTCCTCCACCTGTGCAAGGGGTCAGAAGTTATAATAATAACTTTCTGTCCCAAGTGGCTACATCGTCACGTAGAACATCAACAATCAGTTCTTCATATACCGGCATCTATGCACTCCAGAACGTTGCAGATGCTGGGCTTACATTTGTAGCACCTGCTTTGCCAACAGGCTCTCAGTTGTACGAATCTCATAGAAGGGAACTTGTACTTGATCCAAATGCAAGGCACCACAACCTTCCTCACTTGAGAGTTCTGCCAGAAGATGCAATATTTTTGTGGAAAAGGCCATGAGTACAGGAAATTCTTAACAGAATTTCTACCTACGCTGTTCTGGTTGCAGATGATTGAATTGAATTTTTTATTCTCTTTCCACCTTTCAATCAATTCTTGCCATGTGTTGTCTGTCAAAATTTTTTGTCAATTTTTTCTGTACTTGTAGCATAATTCTATTTTTGTTGTTCTTTTAGTTTTAGCATTTTACCTGTATGAATTTCTGTTTCATTTATATACCTTTTAGTTCTGTCATAACAGGCTACTTTGCTTGTATGACTATGTTATATATTGATGCTTTTGATGAACTAGAGACTTACAGTAATTGTTAGTTGTTCTTTTTCTTCGTAATGGATGGACATTTTTAGGAAGTTGCCATGCTAGAGATTCCTGGCTATAATGAAGCAGGAGATTCTATTGATCAGCACTGGGATATGCGTCTGGATGTAGATCACATGTCATACGAGGTAACTGAGGAGGTTATATCGATCTGATTATGATTTATTTTTAAGATTTTTGAGCAGTATATGAAAATGGGTTTCCTCAGCAGTGCAACCATGTGATGTATGGTTATATGACGGTAAAAACACTACGGGACACTAAACCCATAGTGTTGTTTCACTTTATCACCATTTTTTTTATCTTTTTATTCCAAATTAATCATTGAACACTTTACTCATTCCTTTTACCTATGTCTTTGAAAGTAATTGCTGACTTGTATGATAGAAGTAATGATGTGGCATAAACAGTCCATTACTGCATTATTTTTATTTTTTTAAATTGGCAAAAATGCTTATTCTAAAAAATCAATGCATTTATGAAGCACAGATTTGTAAAAATATAACCATGTTGGCAATCTTAAAAAATATAGCAATGCATTAATGGATATTTTAAGCTGCATCATCAGTGATGTCATACAAGTCAGCAAATCCGCTACTTTCGCTAGACACAGGTAGATGGAGTGCTGAAACTAAAGCAAAAACGAAAGTCCATCGACTAATTTGGCCCCAAAAAAAAAAGAGAGAAAAACTTGATGACCGAAGTGACATGACACTAAGTGACAAGCAATACTTTAACCATTATGTGACTTGTGCTACAATTTTTCTGATCTTTGATAGGATCTGTTGGGCTGTGATGCCATTTGATCCAGTCCAACTGTTAGGCAATGATGAAAAGGCCCAAATTGGATTTATTACTTGGTCCATTAAATATATACCTAGAAGGCCCACTTAACCGAGCCCAATATCCAGCCCACACACCATTAGTCGCTCTTGGACCGTTGGATTGACCCGCTGATCAACGGTTGATGATATTTACTATAAATATCCTCCTTACTCCCTGTTTGGTTTTTGGGTCGTCACTTTCTGTTTTTCTTTTTCTCTCTGCCGTTTGGAACCTTCGAGTTCCTTTGTCTGTGTGACCCTTCCTTCTCTTCTTTGTGAGGTTCCTGGATGATTATCTTTGTGATAATCGTGTTCTTGTTTGATTCTCCTTTGTGTGAATGATCAACCGAAGGTAGGCAGTTTGATTTCGTGAGTCCAGTGTAGTGACCTTGGTGTGTTTGGATTGTGAGGGTTCGTTTTGAGTCTCGGTGCCTCTGTGATGGTTAATGGGTGTGGTCTGAGCCTTCGATTGAAAGATCTAAGCCTTGATGTTGTGATTTAGGGTTTATGATGTAATCTGCGATTCTATGATTTCATCTATGTTTTCTTGGATTCAGTTTATAATAGTGGTATCAGAGCTATAGGCTTTCGGTCGTGAGTCTTCGATTGAAGGTTGAACACTGGAAACCCGCTGATCAACGGTTGATGATATTTACTATAAATATCCTCCTTACTCCCTGTTTGGTTTTTGGGTCGTCACTTTCTGTTTTTTGTTTTTCTCTCTGCCGTTTGGAACCTTCGAGTTCCTTTGTCTGTGTGACCCTTCCTTCTCTTCTTTCGGTGTTGATTCGACTCTGGACTGTGGAATGCGAGGGAGTTTCTGTGATTCCTCGATGTGATTTGAAAAAGAATCACAATACTGAGATCCTGTGGCCTTGTTTTGTGCTTGAACCCTAACTGATTGGAGCTACCAGGCCTTGAAACTTGAGGAAACTGAATCTGCAGGGGCACGTTTTGTGCCTTGGTGACCTGCAGTGAATCTATCCTTGCTGCAATAATTCTTTTTGGATTTCAGCTGGTGAATTGTTTAACCATCCTCAGTTTGCATTTCTTGAACCCCCTATGATCTCACACTCACTAAACACTGCCCTTATGTATATATGCCTCTATGTTGATATGTTTAGTTACTGAACATTGTAACCTGTTACATTAGTTTGCGATATCTTGTAATAGTTGCTTGTGATCAATTAAGTTTGGGTGATTCAAATTGAGCCTTGACCTGAGAACTTGATTCTCACTTGAGTCTCGGTGCCTCTGTGATGGTTAATGGGTGTGGTCTGAGCCTTCGATTGAAAGATCTAAGCTTTGATGTTGTGATTTAGGATTTATGATGTAATCTGCGATTCTATGATTTCATCTATGTTTTCTTGGATTCAGTTTATAATAGGATCTTCTCGCATTGAGGGAACAGATTGGAATTGTTGGCACTGGATTGTCTGAATAAGCCATTCAAAATAATTTGAGAACAAGAACTTTCACTTCATCGGCAACTTGTTCCAATATTGAAGAGCCAGCGTGCTTGGATCAGAATGTCAATTTATGCGTCATATGCCAGGTATTATTTTATTTTACGACATGGAACTAAAATGTCGTCAGATTATGATTATTGTTAAGTTTGTGTCAAGCCTCTTTCACTAGTAAATATGGAATTAATCCTGGGAAAAATTATAAGTGATACAAGTGTAAATATATTATTTGATACATAAATTGCTGATGTCCGAATCCCCTTCTACTTGGCATATCATCCCCCTCGCTCTGGTGCCCACCCCATGTAACACAGTGAAAGCAGGAGGTTTACAGATTTTGGTTGGGTGAAAACCACGGTTAGTCACCCTACTTACAGTGTTGCTTCACTTGGCTCACCGAACTTTATTTTGTTTTATTCAGTCACTGAATTTCATATTTCTTACAGTTTCGGCATATTCGTCCCCATTGAATTAACACTAACGTTTCGTGGTTAAGAAAATGATGACGTGGCATGAAAAGTTTGTTAGTCATTATTTTTATCTTGTAGTTTGCCAAAAATGTCTATTGTTGGACAAGTTATCTTGAAATGGACTTTTATAAAGACAAAAAGAAAAAGAAAAAAATAATAATAATAAATGGAAGAAAGAAAGCACAACGCAGTTTGCCTAATTCGATGATAAAAATAAGGCACAAACAATTTTTCATGCCACATCAGCATTTCACATTTCCATTAATTCAGCTGGTGAAGGTGGATGGGGTGCCTAAACTGAAATGAAAAGTGTGTTCCATTACTAACTTTGTAACGCCCCGACCCGCATAGACGGAAACATCACTCAAACTATTGTACTTTAGCCGTAAAGTTAGTTCGATATGTTTTTAGTAGAAGGTATAAAGATTAAATTTTAGAATTTAATTAAAAAATTTTCTTTTTTTTTATTTAAACAATAATCCAATTCTAAGAGAAAACAATTTCAAAAATGTTTTTAGAATGGTTTCCATGCATGTAACGACTATTGACGTGAAATTTTGGCAAACCTAAAAAGTAATGTTGTTGTTCTAGTTTTTTTTTTTTTTTTTTTTTATTTTTTTTTTTTTTTTTTTTTTTTTTTTTTTTTTTTTTGTCTCAAATAGTAATTGACAAAATAAATTTGTTTTCATAGCTATCGACCTTGAAATTTCATCAAATTTTAATGTAAGGTAGTAAATTCCTTATAATATGACATAGTCAAAAACTAGCTTCCGTCGACTTCATATGGGGTATTAAAATATTTCTCAAAACTCGACAATGACCCGGTTGAAAGGTAAACCGGTGCAGTTCACTTAAAATGGCATATAAAATTTCACCGACGTCAAAACCACATGATTTCAAATTTATTCAGTAGCTAATCCATGAGACTATCAAATCCAATTGGTTTCATCCAAAAATTACAAGTAACGAGTGAGTTATGAATTTTTGAAAACAAGGGTAGAAGCTGAATCCAGCACAGTTTACTTTATATGACATATAAACTTTGACCGATATTGGATTGACATGATTCCAAATTTATTCAGTATCTAACTTATTAGGCTATCCAATCCAATTGGTCTCGTATAAAAATACCAAGTAACGAAAGAGTTATGATTTTTTTAAAGATGAGGCAGAAACTGAAATTTCTGAAGAGACGTCAAAACTTTAAATCGCTAACTTCTTTTGTATACGGTGATTTGTAAATTTATTCTTATGACGCATATCTACTTTCAAACATAATTTATTCATAACGAGTGTTCGTAAAGTAGATCCACACAATATTCATAGGAATCGAATTTAAAGAAAGTGTAAACATCTCAAAATCAACTAAAGATGTAAATCATCGACTTCTCTATGACATGTTGCATCATCTTTTACCATCACCTATGCCCTAAGGAAAATCCATTCAACTTGTAGGAAAGGAATTAACCCATGAGTTTGAAACTCAATAGATATCATCGGTGCAATTCATTATCAAATTAGAAATTCCGAACTATAGATTCATACCATCACACATAGATGGATTTCTAGCAAAATTCAATTACTATAGCATTATCATAACACGTAGAGCCGGGGAATGATCATTCAAACTGTTGTAGTAACGAAGCACCGTACCCGAAGGTACCATTTCATTTAAACATTTATTGAAAAAACAGATTTAAAAACGAATGAACACTTGCACCTCTACCTACCTTGAATTTTCTTGGATAAAAGAACAAAATGTATAGAAAGCCTTCCTTCTTCTCATCCTTGTTATTCCTTAAACTTAACTTGATATGAAATATATTTTTTTGAGAGAAAATGAGATGAAATTCGAATTTGAAGAGGAATGTAGTGAAAAAGTAACCTTCCACTTCTATAACCTTTCTTTTTAATGAAAAATTAAGTGAGGGAGTTGTATTATCATTAAATTTATTAAATTTAGTCTTTAACTAAGAATTTGAAGAGTCTCTAAGCCATAAAAATAATTTATATGAAAGTTTTATAAAAAACATCTACATGGTGATTCGAACCTGAATTGCCTATATGAAATACCATGTAGATGATCATTGTGGCAACCCAATTATTCATTAAATCTTTGTAATCAATTTTACTTAAACTTAATCTCTTAAATTGCTGGACTTTTAATTAACTTATGACTTTGGCTTTCATAATCTTACATGGGTTGAGCTTCCATAGGTCGTTTCTAAAATGGGTTAGGCTCGTAGTGCTAGATCATCACAAAATAATAGCATAATTCCATTTTATTTTTTTCTCGCTACTACAAACTTGGAACCAAAAAAATAAAAAATAAAATATGTGCAGCCAAAGCTCAACCTGTTTTTTTTGTATGCTAACAAAAAAGTGCCCTATGCTTAGACATACCATGGATAGCGGCTTCCATTGTTATTATAGGATATTGCATGAAGCAAACCTTTACTATTGATGTTTGTTTCCTCTATCTTACTCTTATGTAGATTGATTGCGAGGATCAAGAAAATATTGGAATATTGGATTGTTGACATGAATGCCATGGAGATTGCATAAAGAAGTGGCTGCTCGTAAGAAATACTTGTCCCATATGCAAATCCACAGCATTGATAACTGAAGGCAAGGATATGTAAATAAAAGAGGCCATGGCTGTTGGTATGGGAAGACCAGTTTAACAAGTTGGGGCTCTGTCATTTTACAAATTATTCATAGTCCTTGAAAGATACATTTTTTTGTTATGTATTATATTTATGTAAATACTTGCAGGCATGGAGTAGCAGTCAACATTTCTCTCTCTCTTGCAAAGTTAATAGATTTTCTCATCTGTTTTTTGTATTCTACATGAGACCCTGTATTCACTTGTAGTTGATTTACTGCTGGTTGTAGGATATATTTGCACACATAGATGTGCGAAGGATTTTCCCCTAAGGTTTTGAATGTGATATTCATTGAAGACACATTTCTTATTGCTCGTGTTTTTATCTGTGTTCTAAATGGTACGTCTATTTTACTATTCTTCTTGACATAGTTTCTCTCTATATAGTTTTCTGATAGCCATGACGGTCGTGCCTCTCGAAAAACGCCAAGTTTGGAATCGATTTTAGATTAAAAAAAGTATGCCTATTTTCCTTTCTTGACATAGTTTCTCTCTATATAGTTTTATGATGGTCGTGCCCCTCGAAAATCGCCAAGTTTGGTGTCGATTTTAGATCAAAGAACATAATTTCTCAGTCTGGGACGGACCAGCGGTGGTTGCGGTATTGCTAAACCATGACCTGACGGGGAAATATCCCCTAAAATTTTTCTAGCTGTGGCTGCAGTTCTCAATTTTACTGGATTGTACAGTTCGGTTTCCAATCTTCTGAGTTGGTGATTTTGGTCATTATTTGGTGGACAACTGTGGCATTTTCAAACCCACTTTAATACCCTTTCAATGATATATCATTTGTCATGTGAAGATATTTGTACTAAAACTTTATGCCCCAAAAGAAATATACACGTCAGTGAGTAGAAATTCGTCCAAATAATTTAAGTATTACGTAAGTTTGAAAGTCTCGATTGTAAAACACGCTAATCAATTGACAATGTGCAAACATTTTGCATCTCTCTCGTCTTTAATCCTTATCCAATTGAGTTTCAAAACCTCTAGTATTAAATATGATCTAGTGCAAGCTAGCATAGTTCGAAATGTGAGTTGATTGGTTGAAAATGCGTAACTTTTCGATCCGAGTTTTCTAGATTTACGACTCGGGATGGTCAATGTACGCTTTTTTCTTTTTCAAAAATTACTCAGTACAAAGAATGTGATAAGTCCGATTCCTTTTTGTATTTTTATTATTTTGTTTTCTTTTCATGTGGATCTATGCAAAGGAGATCAAAGTCTGAAAAGAATGATCCCTTTGTCTCTCCTATTCAATTGAATCTCTGATTTCATATCAGAATAACACAATATGAGGCCCGCCGAGAGTCACATCCGCACATGGTGGCTGATTCTCCTCTTATTAAACTAGTGCTACTTTCCCCTCCTCCCAAATAGCTGTTGCTAGCTGTCCTATCCCCCCACCCATGTGACCCCCCCTTAGTTCCCTACCCCCCAAACCTGTCGAACCCTAAACCCGAGAATTATTATTATTTTAGAGAAATTAGCTCAACGTGATATCAAGAAAAAAAAATTCGTGTTAGGCCTTTCGTAAAATATAAATTAATAAATTGAAACAAACGTAAGAAACTTATCCATTCCTTTACTAGAACGTTACTATCACTTATACACCTCGATTCATTTTGTCATCTTGAATAATAAATTATAAATTTTTAGACGAGGTAGTTTTTCTGTACCAAATGTAACCCATCTCCCCGAAACCTTTAGGCCTTAATGGTAGTAATTATTAACCAATATCCTATAAATGTCCTATTGTTTAACTTTCATTACATATATATAGCCACGTTCCTTAAATCTCTCAGTACAGTCTTCCAAATTTCACTAAAAGAATCATGTCTTTTTTTAGTTGTTAGTTATTTAGTTTTTTCTTTTCAATTTTAATCATGGAGCAATTACCACCAAAAGTTCCAATAATGAAACACAATTGGGTAATGCCATTGACATCCGCCGCCGCCGGCCAACAGAATTTTTGGGTTGACGAATTCTTCGATTTCTCAGCCACACGGCGGAGCGCCCACCGGAGGACGGTAAGTGACCCCATTGCCTATGTGGAGGCGTCGTTCTCGGAACAAAGCCATAATCCAAATGAAAACTTTATGGAATCATGCAACAAAAATAATGGGTTCGAAAGATTGGATGACGACCAGCTCCGGCACATGTTTTCCGACAATGCGGCGATGGAGGTAGGCTCTGCAACTAGGTCGTCCTCCAATTCGTCGGATCAAAATAGCGACAATGATGACAAGAAAAAGCTGCTGGAGCGCCACCGCTTGCGGCCGAAAAATGAGCCTGAGGAGGTGGACAGTTTAGGCAAACCACTAACAGAAACTCTGCCTCCTGCCACCGCCTCCAGTCCGTTCGACAATGGCTCCGGGGACGCCATTATTGACCCAAAAAGAATCAAAAGGTGAAACCATCAACGATTTCTAAACAGGATTAATTAGGATTTTATTTGGTAATTATGTATAGAAAACCCATGTATGAAATGATTTATTTCAAAGATAAATATTTTGATTTTTACTATTTTTTTGGTGTAATTATCAGAATTTTAGCCAACCGGAAATCAGCTCAAAGATCAAGAGTGAGGAAACTGCAATACATATCAGAGCTTGAAAGGAGTGTAACAACATTGCAGGTACGTTCAACTCGACATAACAACTCTGCAATATGTTAGACTCGACTCGACTCGACCCGACTAGATATCTTGTAATTGTGCAATATAATTCTACCCAGTTTGCGTGTCAAACATGTCGATTCTGTACAAAATAAGTGATTTAGATCTTGGAACTTCTTACTAAAAGTTGCAAGGTGTTGTGTATGTTGAAATGAAGAGTGAAGTATCAGCATTGTCACCAAGGGTTGCATTTTTAGATCATCAAAGGCTGCTTCTCAACGTGGATAACAGCGCTCTTAAGCAAAGGATAGCAGCATTGGCTCAGGATAATATTTTCAAAGATGGTAAGGTTTTCGATTTTAGACATACACTTCATCTCCACCATCCTTAACAGAAGGCTAAACATACTGACTATAGATCTTGATCCAACCATTATATCATATGTACTGTCAACTTTAGCCCTCACGAGAAATTGGGTCTCCCAAAATTCGATCCCAAAACCTTGCTTTATTAGAGACTCGAATTAAACTTGGTACGAATTGTTTAGTCCAACTTACTGAACATGCACTCTATAATTTATGATTGATCGAGCATGATAAACAATACTAGGCTCGGTAGGAGAAAGCACAACATTTCGCCCATCTATCTTGTCATATCCAGCATACCAAGAGTTCATGATTATCCTCGACTTGAGCATTAAGAAATTTGTCTCTTAATTTTGTTAATAAGCTAACATTCTTTGAATATAACCCAATAAACAGCCCACCAAGAAGCATTGAAGAAGGAGATAGAGAGATTGAGACAAATATATGAAGAACAAAAGATGAAGACGAAGATGGGCAAAGAAGCTATTGTTGGTGCACAAACACCAGAAACAAATAGTTCTGAACAGTGATAGGCTATGGTGCGATGCATTCTGATTATTACATGTGCAAGATCACGTGATGTCCCCTCTTTCTTGATCTAATGCTGTAGTGGGGGGCCACTCTGATAATCTTCGTTGCATGATTGGAGTCTATGAAAGTGACACGTGGAGAGTTGCAGATGACTCGAGTTTATAGTGTTAGGGTGCGGTTTAGCATTTTAATCGCTGACAAGAAAATTAGAAAATGTTTCCTCCTTTGCCTCGCTATTTTGATTACAATTTGTCATGTTAATTTTATTTTTTTTCCCTTTTTTTTTTTTTTACGTTCGGGTTTTACATCGATCTTGATGGTTTCAAAAATTAATGGCTTGGCTATTTTGAGAACCAGACATTAATTTTCGTAAGTTTTGATTTATTACATGAGTTGTTTACCACCCACTATTGCAAGTCGAAAAACTTTTGGTCTATGTTTCATTGATTTCATGAATATTTACTCAAATCTAAAGTTTGTCTCAAGTAACAATGTTGTGATGTCTTTTATTTTCTTAAAATAGAACAAAACCATATCAAAATTCCGTAGATAATGTGTATACATCAAGAATTGTAAATATTGCTGACTCAATATGTGTAACGAGACTATTTTCTCATTGCCACATTAACTTGAGTCACTATCGGATCACATTGATTGTATATTTCGCTTATTTAGCATATTTGTAAACATTGTAGATGCTCTTATATATGTATTTTACCTCGTAAAAAATTTAGGGTTTAATTATAACTTTTTAACGGAAGCTACTTCTAAGTGATTTTCCTAAAAAGCTCTTCAAAGCAAAAACTATGACAAATGGACCCTTGACACCGATTTTCTAATCAATAAGGATGTTACAAGTTAAAGTAATCCTTTAACCTCAAATTTGATAATTTCTTTATATTTCTCCTCACGACTTCTGCCAGTGAAAATGACAACCAACACCAACAATTTCACAAGTTCGAAAACTGATTCAGGTGTTGAAAGTTTGCTATTATCATGGGTTTCAGAAAAGAGTTACAGACTTACATCTCATCTCATCTCATCTCATCTCCACCTTAGTAGAATAGAAGTACTTCAAAATGAAGCAAACATATTTCTACCAGATTTTCCTCAAAACGTGAAAAAGACGAGGCGAACTGCCAACATGTCACAATCCGCACCTAAATTCTTAGACATCAATTTCAGGATTTTGCAGGAGAATACACAGTACAAGGAAAGATTTAAGTGCAAAGCTTGATGAGATAGAAAACAAACGATTCAAATTGGGAAAGGAAAGGGATTCTTTGTGATAACTCCATTCTATCTCTCCCACGTGAACAAAAACGGGGACAACTTCGTTTTCGTCGCCAGTTACAAACAAAAATTGAGGCTCTCCACATCAGGACAGGAACTCTCGAGGCCTCGGCATTACAAAATCATTGTCTTCAGTAATTTTCACAAGCTTTACTACCTTCACAAAGTCTAAATGAAAGGTCCCATGAGAAGAAAACGCACAAACAAAATCATCTTCAGCTCCATAAAATCTCTCACATGCTAAAGTTTGGTGCAGATAGAGGGCGCTGGACTTGTCCACCAACCATGCATAGGAAACCAACAAATACGCAAAAATTGGTAGAGGTGGTAGGGCAACGAGCAAAGTCGCTTTTGCATAGAAATGGAATGCTGAAAACTAACAGTATCTTATCTCTTCCAGTCATCACTTTGCACGTGCACAACATTTCGTCCAATAAGGATCCAACTTAAACATAATATCCACAATATCCTTAGCAGTAGCTGGAAATTGGGAAGGAAACAACCATGTAAGAAAGCAACCACAAGTTGAAACCATGACAAAATTGAAAAGCTCTTTCTGGGAGTAAGTGTATGCTTGGCCTAATGAAAATACCGAAAGACACGAGCAAATCTCTATAATTTCAGACTGAGATCAATTGGTTCCCCTATTTTACCACTACCATCCCGGGCATGGATTGTTGCTTGGTCAATTTTCACCTTAGTTGGGAAGAAGGTAAAAGGAGGTCGTTCTATAGATCCACTTGGTCCTGGCCTTAAAATTGCGTCTTCAGTGAATTCCTGTAACAATGGAACAGCCCAGAAAAATTAAAGCAGAGACCATCAGACAAAACTGTTAGACCAAAAAACAAATCAATAAGTATAATTTGAAGATACATAGAACGTGGTCAAACAAAGCAATAAGTATAATTTGAAGATACATAGAACGTAAATAGTATTTGTTGCACACCTGACAGGAAGGACACTCAAAATCAAATAATTCCTGCTCCCGATAGTCTGAATATGTCAGAGGGTGCTTATGCTTAAAGTTCAAAGGCTGGGTAGTGGGAGCAGGAGGAGCCAACGTGAGAAAATCTCCATTCAGTTCTTTGTTTCCTCTGATTACACCACCAGCATTTTGCTCAGGCAGGGGACTTGTGTCTGGAGGGTCTTCTCTGAAAAAGCGGTTCAAGAAATTGTCAGCATACATTTAAGCAGCAGTAAGGATTTTTTCCCGATATTGAGGAACACAGTGTCAATTAGTAAATGAACCTGATATATTTATAGGGTTCGAATTGATTTGTGCATCCATTGCTACATGAAGCCGATTCATCTGATCGGGATCTTGAAGTACCACGCATAGGTTGATATTTGCACTGACAAGGGGCTGTTGGATTTTCTAGAGAGAAGGGATATGACCTTTTCATGCCAAACATCTAACATTGCATCAAAACCTAATCAGATATTGCTACTGAAAATTGACAGACCTTTTACTCAATCTTATTATACAAATAAAGGAAAACAGAAGTTCATAAAAATCCACCATTTAAAATCACAAGTTTGCATGATTTTTGAAAGAAGAATCACTACAATAATGATGAAAGAAACGTAACATAAAATAAGTCAGTAAACAACCATATACTAAAATGTCCAGGTTTCACACTCCAATAACAACAAAACTACCTTCTAACGGAAAAATCAGAACAAACTCTCCTACAATTTGTCACATGAAACCATCTTATGGAAATTTAGTATGTTCTAATAGATTTCAGACCATGAAACAAAATAGTCTTCTTGTTTATATAAATGAACAAGAAAAATAGGAATACCTTCTCTTCCTTTGGTGACAACAGTGCATAATTGTTATCACAAATACTTTGGTTTGAAGGGGGCTCCATCTGAAACTTCAGTACAGATGATGATGAAGTCCCTGAAGAGACATTCACCTGCAATTGCCACATGTGGATTTTTTTTCATCAATATAAAAATAAACACAATATATAAAAAATCACCTGAACTCATTATATTGAATATTGAACGCAGCAATATATATCTATTTTGCTAACCATTGATGAAGAAGAAGGATGATGAAATTGATGTGATCTTTGCGTGAGAGGCAAAACCAGGGCATTTGATTCATATGGAAAATTCATACGAGGCCAAATTGCAAATCTACGATGATCTAACATTTGCTTTTCCCCTTCAAGATTCTGCTCACCAGTCCACAATCTAGGCCAACTGCCCTGCCCAGGACCCGAAATTGCTGGCAAACCTATTTCATTTCCTCCTATATTCAAGGGTTTGGACAATTGAACAGAATTCGGGTGTAGAACTTTGACATTTTTGCTCGATTGGACAGGCCTATACAAGAAATTCGGTGAGGGAAGATCAGTTGGTGATAGTGGTGGCAAGGGGATTGAATTTGAAGAAGGGCAAAGATTTGGCCTAAAACTGGGACATGGAATAGCCAAACATGCAGTAGAATCATTATGTGAACCAATTACATTATTTGCCAAAATATTGGCTGCTTGTACAGCTGCCTCCTTTTTCTGTTGTTCCTCCAACCTAATTTTCTCAAGCTGAGCAACCCCTAATCCTCTCTGTGGAACTTTTTTTTGCTTAGTCTTTTTTGATCTACTCACACCACCACCATCGACGAGGTTGCCACAACCCTCCTCATCAGTATTAAAATTGCGCCTCAGGATATTTTCTTCCTGTGTCATTGTCCCTCTAAGGCATCAAAATTAACAAGAAATCTTGGAATTTAAAGAGAACCCCAAATGCGAAATTATATAGAGCAAGCCATCCACAAAATCCACACCATATTTCTAAGATACCCAAATTTTCAAAACACAATCTGGGTTCAAGAAAAATCCGAGTGAAAATCTAAGAGAATTTATTACACAAAAAAATAAGCCACTTTAAATAGAAACAAGAACAGCCCACATTTGCTGTATATATCCTCAAACAATTATATATACATATAGACGGAGAGAGAGTGAAAAAAGAGCAATTAAGATAGAGAAAATAGCGGAGAGTATCTGAGGGCATCGGATTTTTCTCAACCCCATTTGTTAAGAATTTTGTCGGATCAATTATACATGGGAACAAAAATTAAGGAAATAAAATTCACATTTCAAAATTCAAACTCAAATCTGAATCTAAGGCAAGCTATTTGAATGCTTTACCTCTCTCACCCTCTCATTTATCGCCCAAATCCTCGCTCCACTCCTCCTTGCCTTTCGAGACCGACTCTCTCTCCATTCCTCTCTCTCTCTTCATACTTTATTTAGCTTCTTCATTTGATTAACTTAGCAAATTGGGGTTTCCCAAAATCAGCAAAATATCGCTCGGACAGCGCAAGCCTTGACGATGCACGTTTCTGCCAACACTACGTTTGGACTAACGGCAAATACATAACAAGATATTTTACCAAATAAGTAATTGTTTTTTAAATTTTTGACCAACAAATAGCTAATTACTAATGTGAATACAATAATAATTATGTATAAGTAGCATTACTCTTTTCTCAATCGAACGCTAAAATCCAAATGCCATCATCCTGGAATGAAGTCGTAATATTTGGGCCTATTGGGCCTTACACACACTATCGATCCAGAAATCTTGAGCCCTATTGACCAAGCAATCTTAGTAATGTTTTTCAATAAAATAAGAGGTAATTAGCTCATATCGTCCTCGTCGTTTGCATTTAGTCCCTATTTGGTGGGATTATAATCAGATTTTTAATAAATTTTGATAGAAACTAATGAAATATGTGGTTGAATATTGTGAGATCATAAAATATGTGGTGGAAATGAATTGTTAAGTTTAACTTAGATTAAAATCTATATATATAATTCCAACTAGAGTTTTAAGTTCTTAGAGAAGTAGAAATGAGTTTCATGTAAAATAATTTAAAATGCATTAACAAAAGAAAAATATTTCATCTTCTCAATTAACCAGCTACCCCTATCTCGATTCCACCACCACCACCAGTAAAATAATTAAAAAGAGAATCAAATGTATAAAAAAAAGTAGGGAACAGAATCAAAAATAAAAAAAACAAACAAACAGCAAAATGGTTCTCTTCCCTGTCCAATTCTGCACCATACCAATGGCCACCACCTCCACCCATTCTCCCCATTCCAAAACGACAAATTTAGCTATTTTCCTGATTAAGCTTCTTGTTTCAATATCTTTTTCAATTTAGAGGGTTCATTCAAGATTCCAATTCAAACTCCAATCCTAATTGTTTTAATTCAAACCCAGCTAGAGGATAATAAATATTTTCTTTTTAACCTTGTTTGTTGAGAATTAAAATTAGATTTTGATAAAAAAAAATTTGTTTGACTTTGAGTTAGATTAAAATCTGATTTAAATGAGTACCAAATAGAGCCTCAAGAATTTTATTTTGTATTAATATGTTTTAAATTACTTTAAGTGGGACTCATTCGCATGATTTGAAAAGGTTAGGGCTTTGATTGTAATTATTTTTTAATATTAATTTTTTTCTATTGTTTAATTAAAAAGGATGGTAAATTAGTCATTTCACATCTTTCATGGTGTAAATAGACGGTAAAAACCTTTTGTGTACAGATGTATCGATCTAAGACTCTAAATGTTAAAATTGAAAGAATATAGACAATTCGCACAATGAAGGCAAACGATAGGGATGTTTCGAACCAATTACTCATATCTGACGAAAGGAATTGATGGAATGAGATAGAAATGACCAACTTCGCAAGAGAATGATACAATGAGGGTGCAAATGTCAAGTTTAAAACGATAAAGATAATTTGCACAATAAGTAATGACCAAGACATTTTGTGCTAATTACCCATAAAATAAAATAAGTATGAGTAAATTGTACTTATAAATACATATATGTCCAGTAAAATCAAAACTCATAAATAAATACAATTTTAAATAACTGAAAGTTTTTGGCAGTCGTAAAAAATAGAAATTATTAAATTTTTGTTTCCCTATTTTTTATTTAGGCCATGTTTGGAACTGAAATAAATCAGATTTTAATTTAAGTCAAAGTCAAACAATCAATTTTAAAAACATATTCACAACATTTCAAAAACTTTTATCAAAATCTATTAAAAATCTAATTTTAGTTCCTACCAAATAGGGGATTCCTAATTAACATATTCCCTTAATGCATCTAACATTTTTAAATGGATTTCGAGATAATTATAAATCATGAAATGACACGGAACAGGAGTCAAAGAAAATATTAAAAATAAATTTTAGAGATTTAATTTCTCGATAGAAGGCTGTTTGTAACTAAAGTAATTATACAAACAAAAATAAATAATATTATTTTCGGAGAAGTATTTCGATAATAAAATAATATTACATATATATTGAATCCTTAAGTTTGAAACCCTACAGACATAAAGGTTCATGTGGATTTTCATTAATTTTTTGGCCATTTCTTTCCCTCAATAATAGTCCCATTCCCATGTTACAATTATTTACTCCCTAAATTTTACTGTCCAGACTGGCTACATCTATCTTTATTGTCTGTCCTATGACATTAAATTTGTGAATTTAGATGATTTCTGTCATGCCAGAATGTGCAGACTAATTCCTTTTATCATTTACAAACTTTTAATGCCTACTAATATATGCCATTTTTTTCTTTTTAAAAAAAGTGGGAAAATTCGAATTTCCTGAACCAAGACCTGATAAGGCTCGTTGGATAGCCAATGGTCCGTGGAAGATTCGGGCTCCGGCAAGGTATGTTATGCTGCATAAGTGTAAAAGCTACAAACTTGGATTGAACAATACTGTTTGTCTCAAACAAACTGAGTTCGTCCATTCAAGAAAATTGCCCGGCCAAAACTGTCGAAACTCAAAAGCAAGTCTTGCACGAGGATAACACTTAGTAGTATCTACATTGGCTGAAAGGGATTATTCTCCACCCAGTGTCACTAGAATGAACACAAACGCGCTAACTTATGGTGTGCCCGGTTCACAATTTCGTGAGACATTTCAATCCATATGCAATGTGTGGAGTATTGAGAGCATCTTTTCACATATTGATTGTTAGTGTAATTTCTTATCTTAAATCTGGAACTTAGAGGTGTGTAATTGTGTGTGTATTCTTATCCCAGTTCAAATGAGAAAGTGATGGTGGAAACTTCTGCAACAAATTTAGTGGATTGTTCAATTAAGTTCTTTATTTTCAGCCTGTGGCATTAAAGATGGTTATGCTTAGCATTGTTTTTTAGACACCCGACTAGATAACATTGCCATTATGTGTAGTGTTGTTGTCTACTACTGCATTTCAAACATGTCCTTAGAGCATGTGGGCTAAACATTTTTGAATGAGATTGGACAACTCTATAAACAAGATTTACCATCTTTTGCTTCCTTTTTATTGTGTAGTGGTTTGTACGACACGTCCATGTAATGTTTTGTCGACACCTCATTAAATAAGATTAAAAGTGGAGCATTCCAACCAATAAATCGATAACTAACCATCTTATAATATTGAAGGAGCCAGGTTAATCACTAGCCCACATACCCCACCCCAAGAGAAAATCAATTATTTTTGGTATATTCTTCTCTAATATATCCCAACCCCATCCTAAATTCAATTAGGTTGGATCTGTCATTGGACATAAGAATGCAATCACAAAATTCTAAAATCCATGTAATTTATTCTGAGAGGTATTCATCAGTCATAAAGAAGTACCAACAACCATGAAGCAGCTGTCACAATCTCAATAGAAACCAAATATTTTTTGCATTGCTTTCTTTCAAGATGAAAATGAGTTTCCAGCTAGACTTGGAGATTATTAAGAGGAGACCTAGAAACTTTCAGGCTAGGGGACCATCAACTGATTGAAGGGTGTCGAATTCAAAAGATAAAATGACAGAAAGATCCATCCATTCTGAACATGTTTAATATGTTGGACCGAATAAATTGTACGCATTCAAGAAAGATAGACATGTAAATTATATGTCCATTAGTTAAACGACTTCCTTATTGCATAAGAATTGAAATATAAAAATATATGTATTTATTTTTGTGTAAAATGTTATCAGAATTGCGAGGAATGAAATTGGTTAGGTTTCAATATTTCTGGTTAGGTTGCCTGTTAATCTAAAGGGCGGCTCTTCAAAAGACAATCATCCGATGTTGTCAACCATTACCAAAAAGGCTAAGTAGCTAATAAATAGAAATAAATTATATGTTGGTATAATTAATAGAAAATAATGTTATAACCAAGCTCCAAAGCTGTTCTACTTTTTCTGATTTTTTCCCCTTCAAAAATGAGGAAGTTGATGGAGGAATGAACCGTTTCATTTTGAATGCATGAATGAATAATTGACCATTTCTATACATAGGAATCAGCTTAATTGTTTGTTCTCATTCTCACTTGAATTCAAGAAACAAGCTCTCAGTATCAGCACAAGTATAAGACATCCAAAACAAAATTTTATCGCCTGCCCAATGCCAGAAGGTCAAGCTGGCGACGACCCGAGGAAAATATAAAAAGGTATTTAGCCCTCAACAAGGTTGGAATACATTTTTCTCATAGTGGTACCAGATTCGACACCTCAGATATGCTAAAGAGAGCAACTGTGGAAATCAGTTCATCAAATCATATCTTCCACCAAAAAAAAAAAAAAAAAAAAAAAAAAACAAAAAAAAAAAAAAAAAAAAAAAAAAAACCTAATTCATGATAGAATAAATCAAAAAGCAGCAAAATAACATGAAAAACAGAAAGCAATTCAAATGGCTTGAAGCAAAGTTGAGCTCTACTAAGTCACTCAGATAAGAAATATGAAAATCAAGCTGGAATATTTGGACAACTGATACATATAATAGCAATCTGGGATTGAAAAACCCGAAGCTAGACTCAGTATTCTTCTTCCCACGGTAGTCTTCATTGAATTAAACTCACTGAAAAGTCTCCTGAGAACCAAGATTCATCTACAACAGCAAGTACTTGAATTTTTAAGGGTTCTTCTCTTATTGGACAAACAGATAACATCCTGCAAATTGAGTCCAATGTAATAGAATGCTACCGTACTAAACATAGAGAACATGATATGAAGATTAAATAGCGTTGAAATAAACTAAAAAATTGGAATTTAGAAGGTTACCTGTTTATGAAGAGGAGAGCTATTTCATTATGTGATATAAATTCAATGGTGAGAATCAGAGGAAGATGGCTTGTCGGTATATCCATCGTGCTCCTCTTTATCAACTTGAATTCGTGCAGGAATATGAAACTCGGAGAATCCACCTACTGTTGAGGTGAATTCGACACCAGATATTGATGATGAATAAACTGGCACGACTGGATGATGCTGGCTATGGTCAGCCGTGGCGACACCTATGGCGGATGGGTCCGTCCACGCACGAATTGAAGGTGTGTTACTGGACTGAAGGGGTCCCCTCTCAGAAGAAAAATGGCTTTGGCCTAACAGCTGCTGCAGCGCTGGTGGCCAAGTGAACAGATATCCTGCTGCTCCACCACTCCCACCGGTGATATCTCCACTGGTGTTCCAAGGAGTCAGTCCCTGGAACCGGCTTATTTCTGTGGGCTGGTGCTGATGGTGTTCAGACCAGCCTGCGTAGGAGCCATCCAACCCCAGTAAGGAGGTTCCATTGAATGAGACTTGAGGCTGAGAATATGCTTCTTCAGTGTGGTGGGTGGGGTTCTTGTGGTGCGGCGGCTGAGGCTGATGGTGGTGGAGCATAAGTGGATCTTGAAATGACTGCAAAGAGAGCCTCAGATCCTGACTCTGGCAACTAGTTCTTGAAGTGCCAATTGGGAAAAATGACTTTAAAGTATCTGAAATGGAATCCGAATCCAAGGACGAAGGAAGAAAACTTGCGTTGGGATCCGCATTACTGCTCTGGTGCAACACTTGCAGCCCATTTTCATTTCCCAACATTGTCATTGCCCTTTTACTCGAAGAACCTGCAATATTAGGGTCCACCACACGAGCCTGATCTTGTTCTTCTTCTTGCTCTTGCTCTTGCTCAAAAATAGCATTTTCTGCAGAAAATTTTGTGTGATTCCATGCAGGCAATTGCTCGAGCTCATCAATGGCGGGCTTAGCCTTTTTTATGAGCCAATCCACTGCGTTGCTCGGGCGGTCATAGCCAAGCCGATCCTGGACATCGTAAAACTGAATAGCAGTGTGAGCAGCAAGACGTACTCGGCGGTCTCTGGGTCCTTTCGAGGTGCATACTTTACTGTGCCGGTCTTTTCGAGCGGTGGACCGTACAATGTGGCCGCCTTGGACTTCCACTATATGGCCGCCAGTACGGTTCCTCAGCCCTAATCTTGAAGGTATTTGTTGGTTACGAGTATTCTTTTCCATTTTTTCCTGCAATCTTGCATGTTCAGCACTTGCCTCAAATGAAATAGATGAATTCAAGAACAATCGTTTCTTGGGCGGCGGCGGCGGCGGCGGTGGTGATGATTCTTCTCCTCCTCCTTCCCCTTGTTCTACATATCCAGATGTCGTCGCAACCTGATTTTGGTTCCTATACGGATGTGGATTACGCCGAGGAATCCTAATAGAATCCAGACTCAAACCCTCGTTATGAATTTCTTTTTCCAGTTCTTGATTCAGAAGAAAACTTTGTAATTCTTGTTTACAACTTACAGTGGTTCGGCAAAATCTAAAACTGCTACCTTCCGAATCCCCTCAGAGAACAGAAGGCTAAACCATAACAAAATAATCTTAGCCTAACCCATCTTTTTGCTCCTTACTTTTCACAACTTTTGATGATAGGGATGAGGGCTACTATCTATACCCTAGTCTGGTGCCTTTATTCAACAAACTTACTACAGGAATACAAAGAAGAGAGATCTCTAGTCTAGGGTACTGTCCCAGTTGAAATATCAAAGCTAATCAAGATGAGAACCTATCAGTAATTTAACGGTAAAAAAAGTTGTCTTACCAAAATCCCGTCAGTGTCAGAAGCATATGATGATTTTGTACACCGTGCAAACATAAATACCCACCCAGGAACACTCTTTCTGGTTCATTTACAACTAAGGCCATGTTTGCTGAGGTGTGAATAAGAAAATTATGAGGCTGTTTGGGAGTGATTTTGAGAATTGATTTTTTGACCTTTAGAAAAAAAAGTGGGGTCCACCCGTGAGAGAAGAAGTCAAATATGACGGCTGAAATAGTAAAATAACGTTCAAAAAATCAATTTTTTGGATGAAAAAATCGGGCCCAAACAGGCCCTATATAATATTTTTACTCTTTTAAGTTAAAGACAGGCTACCCATTGGAAAACTTTTAGTTATGATTAAGCATAGCCAAACATGTTGGCGACTTGTTACAATTTTCACCATTGAATTGCCTCAGAATTTTTTAAATTATTTAGTCAGTAGTTAGAACAAATCGTTATATTAAGTTAAGGGGATGTGTTACGCAGAGACAGATCCTTTCCTTTCGCTTTCTTGAAAATGACCTCTTACTGCTTTTTCCCACCTCCGTTTCACTATTTCTTACTCTTAAATTATTGCTTCATTTCAGAGGATACAACTACGGCGTTCATTTTTTTTAATTTTTTGTTACTTCTGTCATGACACGACTTGAAAACGGTAAAGGAATGACTCGACTGGTTTAGGAGTTTTTACGCGTAACTTCATCGAATTGTTACTCGTACCAAGTCTCATTTTTCAAAATGAGAGTTTGAGAATTAATTTTTTGACCTTTAGGAAAAAATTGGGGTCCATCTGTGAGAAAAGAAGTCAAATATGACGGTTGAAATAGTAAAATAACGGTTAAAAAATTAATTTTTTGGGTAAAAAAATCGGACTCAAATAGGCTCTTTATTGATTGTATGTTTAAATAAAAATGCGTGAATTATGTACTCTCAACTTCAATTATTGATGGATATAAATTTAAGTCCTCGTTTGTTTTCCATTATCATTAAAATGAAAAATATAATTGTTATACATCACATCAAGTCATCAAATTTGAATTTTTATCTCTTGTGTGGAGTCCGTAAAAACTATATTTTTCATTCTCATTTTTCAAAAAATTAGAAACAAACGGGGCCTAAATAAAATGACACTAGCATCTCCTTTATTAACTGATTAAACTTATAAAAACTTGACAATTATTTGGCATTACAATATTTTTATTTTATTTTTCCCTGCTAGGTTGATTTGACAACATTATTATTGCCCACTGCTTTACTAGTAGAGTACAACCTCACTGTACTTACTTCTTCGACATGGTTATTAAACTATGATCTAGCTTTTAAACAATAATTTGAAAAGAAATTTTGCTGTCAGCATAATTTTTTAATAATGGTTGTTATTAAGAAGTTTTTGACTATTTGGTTGTCCCTCCAAAATGTGTCACTTTTGAAGTGATTTTATATTATAACTTATTAATATGCTACACAAAAACTTCAATTATTTCTTTCATATCTCATATTTTCATGAATAATATTTATTTCATATCCTATAAAATCTATTAAAATTAATATTTTAATTAAATTAGCAATAATATAATATTTAGGGCTTGGTGCTGATTATGAAAATTAATTTTTTGACTGTTAGCTTGAAATATAGATCTCACATGTGAGTGAAGAGACCAAAAATGATGGCTGACTATGACGAGTAACGATAAAGAAAAATTGATTTTTTTTTTGCTTGAAAAATCGGAACCAAACGGGAGCTTAAATTTTATTTATCCAAATTATACACATTATGGCGGTTGAAAAAAAAAATTATATATGTTACATAACATATCGACGTACTTAAATTTGTCATCCCATATGTAAGATAAAAAATAATAATTAGAATATGGATAAAAATATGTTATAAATAATTCAAAAAGAATCTCTAAATTGTATGTTTTATCGATATATTATATGTCGGATAACTTAAATATGTTTGACATTTTACTAAATTAATAATGACATGTGATATTATTGATAAACTATTCAAAAGAATCTTTCAACATGTTCTAACGTATTGTCCCAGATTGGTGTAAATTAAAATCAAAAGTTATTAATTAAAGTTTATAAAATATTTTATTAAAATTAATTGTTAACTTTGATTTGACATTAAGATCAGATTTTAATTAACAATCATGCTGGGGTGCCAGATAAATTTTGACACCCAAGTTGACCTACACTCACAGTCGGGGTGGATGGAGTGCCATTTTTTAATTTTTTATTCCCATGAGGTCGGCTAGGGTCTCATATCAATGTGAGTGTAGGTCAACCGAGGTGTTAAAATTCATCCGACACACTAACTTAATTCTTTAATTTATCCCAAACAGGGGCAATGTAACTAAGATCCTATTAATTCAGACTTGTTTGCAATTTGAAGAAAGTACAAAAATGGAGGACAGCTTTCGAGCTTTATTGAGCCGTGTTTGCAAATTGATATGAAAAGCAACTAGATTATTTTCCAACACTCGAAAGTGTCAATAACACACAACCACCCGCAAGTGAATAACATTACACACTAAGCAACTAGACATAACCAAGCAAATGTAGCTCATAGGTGAACAACTTGGTTATCTAGCCGGTATTATTTTAAGTAATGTGCTCTAAGCCCATTTCGCAAGGACTAGTCTCTCTAGCAGCATGGGCAACTTCAAAAATTTAACTTTGGCAATAAAGAATGCAAAATTGTGTCGAGTTCTTAATGATGAAATGGAGTACCATAGAAGCCATTTCAACTCTGATGGACAAACTTGATTCCCTTTTCAATGGAGGATTTTAGCTCAGGCTTGAGAGCTTCTAGGCCTTGCTGCTCGAATTCAGAAAGCAGCCCCAAACCTAGGACTTCCTCAACACCATTCTTCCCAAGTCTCACCTGGCATTGCACACAACATTGAAATTAGTGGCCTATCAAAGAAAAGAAAAAAACTTGGAAATGCAATAAGCAATCTGAAAAGCCAATAACTGAACTTGCAAATTCAGAGGTGAAGGGAGCTGCAATGAGGTTCTTTGTAAAGGATAAGAAATGGTCATACTTATATGGATGCCTAACAGTATGCGTGAAGCAACTTCTCATAGCATGAAACCAAATGCCAATTTTTTTTTTTTTTTTTTCAAAAATACATTCAACCAAGGCTAATATATAATAACCATTCAACAAGGTGAGTGAGATTCAAATCACTGAAAGGACCATTTACCAAATCATTCCTATTGCAAGCTATCATTATTAGTAACAAAGTGTTTGTTATCATCATTGAACAAATTTTTTGAACTCACCTTGGATGCAAAGAAGGGTAACTCGGTGACTGTTGACTGCACAAACGAACATTCCACTACATCCGGGACTCCATTAAGTCCTTTCAAGCAAGCATCAGCAAATATAGCCCCTGCATAACTACAGAAAGCATATTGCTGTTAGTACAAATTAGTTAAATCAACCAATCACTAGCAGAAATACACGAATAGCACATTAACAGACTGCCATGGCTTAGGAAGATGTGGTAGGCTAGGGTACGCTTCTTTAAATTAAAATGTGATAAATTTCAAGCTCCAGATGATGCAAAGGAAATTTTTATGCCATAAAAAAATTTCTGTATTTTCAGTTAATGATGTAAAGGAGCAGTAGTTATATAGAAGTTTCTTCCACAAAATTCACCTTTTCATCACAATACCTTTTACTAAAAGGATAATTAGGAATGATTGTACCAATTTGGGATTCGCCAGGGATCCCCGCAATAAATAAAATGACTGTGCCTTTACTGTCATGTTCTAAAGAACAATTTATAGGAAAGCTATCTGACGAAAAGGAGCCTTTTTTATAGAAGACGTTCTTTTTAATTCAGAACTTATAAGGTTTACAAAGTGATCATTTGGAAATTGAATACAGTAACCATTGATAATATGTGAAAATCAAGCCAAGGTCATCTAAGAATAGAACAGACCAGCTTGATGCTCAAAATCAAGATTCTACTCCAAAAAAGTGATCACCAAAAATATCTAGAAACAAGTGAAAGTACAGCTCTTACGCCATTGAGAGGGTAGCTGATCCCTTTCCGGCCTTAGCTTCGACGACTTCTGTTCCACCATCTTGTGTTCTTTTCGTGAGCGCTTTAATGTCTTCATCAGACAAATTGGCTCTTGGTGAGGCCTAATACCATACATCAAAACATAAGTGTCAGCATATTCTGGGCACATATGCACTCATAATTCCTACATTTTCCCAAGTATATTATGATAAGAAAAAACTGAAAAAATCAATGTGAAGGCAGAACCTGTGAAAACAATGGAAGAATCGTTATGCCTGCATGACCACCAACAACAGGTACATTGACCTCTGCAACAAAGAGAGAAAATTTAGGCAATGAACTTTATTTTTAACAATGCAAAATCAAAATATGAAGCTAACAATCGCTACTCTGTAAGTCAATAATCACTATCAGCATACCCGCCACATTGACTTTGGCCTTGCCAGCATAGAATGTCTTGGCCCTAACCACATCAAGTGTGGTCACGCCCAACAGTTTCTTCTCATCATATACTCCTAATCCCTTGAGGACCTCAGCAGCAATTGGGACAGTGGAGTTCACCGGGTTGCTAATCATAGTGACAAGTGCCTGATTGAAATACAGTGTTATTAAATCACGGGTAAAATTCAATAATTGAAAAAATATAAATGTAAAGAAAGGCAGGGCTCACATTTGGGCAATACTTGCCAATGGCAGAGCAAAGAGACTTGACAATGCCAGCGTTAATGTTGAAGAGATCATCACGGGTCATACCAGGCTTTCTGGGGACACCAGCTGGAATAATGACAACGTCTGATCCCTCCAGAGCCTGTTTTAGCTGGTCATCTCCCATGTACCCAGTCACCTATCCATACAAGCAAAATACATAGATAAATTATGTGAGCAACAGCACAATATAATTAATGAGAAACAAACAAGTAAATATTTGAAAGTAAACAGGTTACAATTTTACGGATTTTTATGAAGAAAAGGAATTGGTGATATGAAGATCGAGAATACTCATAGAACATTGAACTAGAAAGAAAAGATTCAAACGTGCAGAAATGATTAACCAAAATCCCAATAATTCTGAATTGTAAACAACCAATCAGAGTTCAAAAGAATGTGAGTGAAAATGATTTACATTTGCAATCGTTTCTCTTTATATGTTTCATGATTGATTTACAACACAAGAGTTTATCAATTCAATTTCCCCCGCGAGTCTATAAATATAGTATAATTAGCAATTGAGCAAAATCCCTGTAACGCTCTACAGAAGAAAACGATATAAAATAAATCAAGGCACATAAAATACAATAGAGAAATTAGGTACACAAACCAAGCCAATAAATAAATAAATAAACACTAAAACCCTGAAAAAATACCGAATAAAAAAAATCAAACCACATAAAAAACCACCAAAAAATAGCAAAACGTAAAGATTAATAGTTACAGAGGGAAGCGTAAGGGACCTCAGATCTGGTGTTAATGTGGCTGACGTCAGCGGCGACCCCGGGGGTGCCGGCGATATCGTAAAGGGCTAACTTAGAGACGAGCGGGTTCAGCTTCATCAGCAAAGACAGCGGCTGGCCGATCCCACCGGCGGCTCCAAGAATGGCGACTTTCCTCTCAGGCGCCAACTCCGATGAAAAGCCACGGCGCAATACATACGATGATGATGGAGCTACTGTAGAGCTCTTCCTGAGAAGAGATCTCAATATAGCTGCCTTCATTTCGTACTATCACAGTGATACCGTAGATAGAAGGAAAATTCAAAGGAACCAAAATGAATTGACAGCTTGTAGAGAAGCGTAGGGCGAGGGTATATATTTATGGTGGGTGCGTAGATCGAGAAGTCCGCTACTTTGTAAAAGTCACCCATCTTGAACTCTGTGATACATATAACATATTTTTCATCTTAATTGCGCCAAGGGTCCCTAAAGTCTTGAATAATTACACTAATGATCATTAAAATTATTTTATTAAAATAATAATTACTCAAGTTTAGAGATTAAAATCTGATTTTAATTTAAATCAAAATAAAATAATCAATATTAACCACATTTTTCATGGATCCCACAATTTCTCAAGCACACATTTCAAAAACTTCTATCAAAATATACTAAATAATCTAATTTTAATCTCACTAACATCTTCTTAAATAAAAACATGAGTAATCAATTGATAACTTTTTTTTTAGTGAGCATACAGAAATCGAAGATAAAGATTATTTAATTTTGAGTTACTCGTTTAACTAACTTTCAAATTTTAACATTGTTAATTGCTATTTAGGATTTTCATCCGCCACGAATGATTTTTCTACCACATGGTCAGCGAAATTTTGATAGATGATGGTTGAATAACATTATGTAAACGTAAGTGAGCAATCAATAATATTTTATTTTCTAGATGAACAAGCAATAATCAAACGTAAATGTTGACTAATCATTTAATTAGATCAAAGATTGAGGGTATATATTTATCATGTGTGGATAGATCGAGAAATATGATGCTTTTAGCTCTCTAATCAGCAATGGTCATCCATCTTTCACTTTGTGATACATTTTTTTCATCTTAATTATCCCAATGATTCATGGAAATTTGAATAATTACATCAATAATCATAAAATGGTTTCCTTAAGATAATTATCACTAAATTTTTTAACTGTAACATCAATGATCACTCATTTTAAAGCATTAGCGTTAATCCCATGTGACGCTGCAAAAGTAAGCAAAATTTTGAGTTAATTATTAAGATTAAACGCATTAAATTGATAAAATGTGATTTGATTTTAATTCTTGACAATTTTTTATACTTAAGTAGTATGTTTAACCCGTTCTTTTTTATATTAACAACCTGTTTGGGAGTTATTTTTTGACCCAAAAAATTGATTTTTTGATCGTTATTTCACTATTCCAACCGTCATATTTGACTTCTTCTCTCACAAGTGAAACCCCATTTTTCTCCTAACGGTCAAAAAATCAATTCTCAAAATCACTCCTAAACAGGCTCTAAATAAAAGGTTTTGTAGACTTTACATGATAAACAATGTCAAGTAAGTTGATAAGAGTTTGTGGGGGGTAAATTATATGTATTTCCTCCCTTTTTATGCTTGCTTTTGTGGTGGTCCTGTGGATAAGAGTTTGATGGAAGACTTTTTAAAAGGAAAAATAAAGTAAAGGAGAATATGGAAGAACATATTCACATTAATATCGTTCATTTTCTTTTAACTTTTTGAAACTTTTTGAAACTTTTTCTTCATTGTAAAATACTCAAATTTGGATCGAGATGAATCAGCTTGACTCCACGAGTCTCATGAGACGAGCCCATGAGCTTGCTCCACATTCCACCTCGCCCCAATCACGAAAAAGGCAAGCCTGATCCTGGGCACAGGCAAATGAGGCCCCGTGCGTCTGGCCCAAAACCATAGGGGGCTTATTATGGTCCAAAGTTTTTTTTTTTTTTTAAATTAAAAGAAAGAAAAGGAAAATAGTTTTTTCATTAATTGTGAAATTATTGAGATATATTTGTTGTTTTAATGTTGAATTTTAAGTTAGCAATATCTACATAACACACCGTTGAATTTTGCATTTACGTTGATTTTGAGGGCCTAATTTTTTAATTTCGTCTCGAACCCCGATAATCACAGGACCGATCCTAGAAAAAGGAGGGTCAACTTGGTCTATATAAATGGTGAGGGCTGGGTGCAGTGTAGGTGTTTGCTGATGAAGTGGCGGTAGAAATTGGTTTTAAGCCGTCACATGATTGGTGAAGATGGAGCAGGGTGGGTAGTTTTCGAATGATGGAGAAGTAGGAAGGTTGCCTCTTCCATTTGTCATCCATTTCAATACAGTGCAAAGGGTGAAAGATTTCAGTTTCGATTTTTGCTTTCGTAAGCACGTCCAATCGTTAACTCCTTGAGTCACTATCGCCTTTTCTAATATCGTCTCACTGTCACAATTGTATGAAAGAAATCCATCTTACAACGTGACAGATACAGCTACTTCTTGTTTTTTTTTTTTTTTTTTCTATTTCTTTTTAAATTCTTTACTTATATAATTTATTTCATTTTAAAATTAGGGTGGAGTGGTCATTTACATAAGACTTGATTGTCAATGGTTAGTCCAATAAGAATTTATTTGAGCCACATTGTTTGAAATGATAGATTTTATAATAGCGATTTTTTGAATATTGTGTCGATATAAAATAGAGAAAATTTTGAAATTTATATGTAAAATTATTTTATTAAAAGAATATGAGATTGAAAAATAAAAAAGTTTTTATCTTTAAAGGACGAAACTCAAATAAGAGTCGAGTATGGCCAGCATACAATTTTTTATGTTGGGAGTCACAAATAGATGGGCCGGAGCCATTGTCACATGAACTTCTTAGTCACCATTTGACCCCCATTTTTTGAAATGAAAATGGGTCAAATAGTATTTTTCTGAAAAATGAGTGAATGAAAAATTAAAAATGAAGGAAAAGTTTTCGATTTATGTGTAATATTCTTTTATGAAAGATTATGTGATTGAAAATGGAAGAAAGAAAAATAAAATAGAATTTAACAATGGACTCAGGCTGTAATATTCCCAAAGTTAAAAATTAAATTAAATTAAAATATCAATCACTACTATTTGGTTTTGATTACTACTTGCTCGTCCAAAAATAAACAATTACTCATTGCACACTCACTTTTACACAAAGTTATCCATCTTATCACTCATTTTAAATCCATCCATCTATGTGGACAAAAAGATTTATGTGGTAGATGAAAATCCTATGTAGCAATGTACATAATTAATTGAGGACAAGCAGGATAAACTTGCTTTAATTGAGTGTAACTTTTCCTTCAATTTAAATTACATTTTCTCCTTCACCACAAAACTACCGTCCCCAATGAGTTCTACATTTAATGATTCCAAATCACCACAAATTCATACGTAACCTAAAGCAAAACGGGGAAGGTGAATGAGTTCTGCATTATTTCTTTTACAATATATTTACTTTGCTTCCCCTGCTAATCGATTCCTTTTCACAATGGCAGAGCTCATTTTGATATACGGGCAGCTTCTGGAAACATTTTCGCACTTCTGTGGGGCTTAATTTGAATATCATTTTTGGTAGAGGAAATTAGGGTTAATATGAATTTATTGATTTCTCAATTTGAAGTTCAATATGCAATCGTCGCAAATTGAGAGAGGAATGGTTTGGGTCTGATTTTGGGAAGAATTGAATTAAGTTATGGAGAACAAATTGTTTAGACTTAGTCCCCATTTGGCCCCCATTTTGTGGAAATGAAAATAAGTGGAATAGTTTTTACTTTTTTTTTAAAAAATGAGTGATTAAAAAAAAAGTTTTCGATTTACGTGTAATATTATTTTATGGAAGATTACGTGGTTAAAAATAAAAGAAAAAATGAAATATAATGGAATGAAAATTAATGGGGGCCAAACGTGGGCTTATTGTGAAGATTTAGGAGAATTGAATCTTGATTTGGGGGAAAATGTTCTTTCAAATTTGGAAGGAAAAAGTTATTTTAGTTAATTAATTTTTTGTTCAAGCTGTTCAATTATTTAATTTAATACTGTTATTGACAAGCAGGATGGTCGATGGATGAATTTTAAATGAGTGATGAATTGACAACTTTGTCTTAAAGTCAGTGAGCAATGGGTAACTTTTTATTTTTTGGTGAATAAGTAGTAATTAATATTAAATGTTGGTGATTGATTATTTAGTTAACTCCGAATCTATATCAATGTTTTAAACATCGACCCAAACATCAACCCGAAAATGAGAAAGAGTCGACCTTCGATTGAATCAAATGTCAAAATTAATTTAAAAAGTGAAGTGAACACTCAAATAATTAAAATTGCAAAAGGCTTGATCCCACATCTAAAGTTGAAAAACATTGTATAAGAATCTTCCCTTTTTTTTTCTTTTTTCTTTTTTTTTTTATATCCAGGTATCCCAACTTACATTAGACTAAATCCCGGACCTCCAAGACCCTTGCTCCTAGAACCTTTGAGCGGGTAAATCGCAGATTATGCCTCAACTGGATCACAGGTTCCCCCCATTGTCTATACACTTCTGCGCACAAGAGACCCTCCTCCACAGTAAATGCTCCATACCAAATATTTGGCCGCAGGTTTCTACTAGGAATTGAACTCTCTACCCTGCCGCTGGAAGCAAGACAATGTTGATTGATCCACCAGTTGAACTGTGCTCCGGAGGGCAGAATCTTCCCTTTTTTAAAAACAGCAATTGGAGGTTGATAAATATTGCAAAAGGTTTGATACCACTTCGGAAGTTCAAGAATGTTATGCAGAAAACTTCCACTTTAAAAGCAACAATAGGAAACGTGGTCCTACAAATGCTAGAGCTCATTACCAAGTTAAAAACTTTTATACACAGTAAAATGGGTCAAAAATCAGGACTGATTTTTTTCGGGTTTTCGATTAAAACGGCAAGTTATACGGGCTTTTACCGATTTTTTCTTTTTCGGTTAATACATTAAGGTTGGATCGGTGTTGAGATCGATTTTCGATTTTTGTATTTGAACTAATCGGTCCAATCCGATTTTCATAACGTTGATCTATAAATTAAAAAATAATAAATTGCTAAGCAGTGTTTCTTTGAATTCTTTTTTTTTTCTTTACGTCCTTTTCATTTCGTATTTTAGCCAAACAAGATTGTTTGGGGTAAGGATTGAGGAGCCTGGTTGATGGAATAGAGTTAGTTGTTCCAATGGTCAATGAACTTATATTTCTATCTTCGATTATTTGCTGAAATTTAAAATATCGAGCTTTGACCACTAAACTTTAAAAAAAGTTGTAAGTTACTCACAAGCATAACTTCTGTCTCGA